CAGGGCAGCCCGCCGATTGCGGCTCCAACACAGGAACATGCGAACCCACCGACTCTGGATCCGCCTCAGGAGCAGGGGAGGCCACCGACTGTGGCTCTGTCTCGGGAACAAGGGAAACCACCCATGGAGGCTCATGTTCAGTCTCTGAAGTGGGTTGAAAAGTCTGTAGAGGACTCTTTGCGGTTTGTGGTCCCTGTAGAGAGGCTCTTGGAGGCCTATCTCCATCAACTCCAAATTCTGAAGTCCTTCTAACCTTTAGCTCAGGGGTCTCTAGACGGCACAGGGCAGGCTCAGGGGTCTCTGGACGACACAGAACTGACTCAGGGGTTTCTGGACGACACAGAGCTGACTCAGGGGTCTCTGGATGACACAGAGCTGACCCAGGGGTCTCTAGACGGCACAGAGCTGACCCAGAAGTCTCTAGACGGCACAAAGCTGGCTTAAGGCGACGCCTTTTCTTACGCCGAGAGGTCTTTGGAGCTAGGCTAAGTGGTTTATTGATAGAATCAGACGCTAAATTAACCGGTTGAGAAATAATAATTCCAGAGTGGATTACAGGATCAGAAGCTAAAAAATCAGGCAAGGGGTCAGGTTTTGAATTAACTGGGTCAATAACTGGTTCAGGATCTGGATCTGGCTGGCGTGTAACAGAAAGTGGTGGCTCGAAAGGGAAGATATCATCTCTATCACCATAAAAAAAGTTCCATAGATCAGCCTCATGGATGTGGGGAGCTCGATTGACAGGCCAGGGAACTGGTTTAGTTTTAACGGTGACAGGTGCAGGTGTCTGATCAGGCTGACGGCGAACTCTAACCGTATGATGTGAAATAGATGGGGTAATCTTGAGTCCTTTAACGGATGGAGCTAAATGGAGGTCTAGAACATGTGAACAGAGCCTAAACTGGCGTGGAGAGGAACTGGAACTGTTTTGTGATGCTGTGTCTAATCCTATGGCTAGTTCTATGAGGTCCTCGAGGTTAGCAGGCTCCACGTGAAAAGTAAGCTCTTTTCTGATAGATTCTTTTAGTGCAAGGAGATAAGCGGACTTGAGTGCAGATTCGTCCCACCCGGAAACGGCTGCTCTGCTCTGAAACTCGGAGGAAAACTTGGCGACGGACCTATTACCCTGTTTAATTTTAAGAAGATTGCAAGAAATGGAGAATTTAGTGACCTGACTAAAGGTTTTTTCAAGCTCCTGGATGAATTCTTTAAACGTACAGTTTTCTCTAGTTTTAGGTGGAAATTTAGTCTCCGCCCATTCAAGGGCTTCACCAGACAAAAGAGAAACAACAAAAGCTATCCTATCCTTATTATTGAGAAAACTGGAATTGTGAAAACCAAAAAATAACCGGCACTGAAATATAGATCCCTTGAGCTTACTTGGATCTCCTGAAAATCTCTCGGGCAGAGAAGGACCGGGTGACGAAGACGACGGGAAGAGTTCCGACCAGAAAGGAGGATTATCATCTTGACTGGAAAGTGACGGACGGACTTCCGGAAGTGACGAAACCGGAACCGGAAGTTGAACTGGCGCCATCTTGTGATTCCCACGAAGCCTGTGGGATCTTGAAACGTGTGTTTTCTTAAAGTCAAACTGGGATTTTAACTCACGGAGGGTTTGTGTATGTTCAGGAATCTGAGCGTCCTGTTTCTCAGTCCAACGACGGAGGAGATCTGCTGGGCTTTGTGTATGGCCGCAGTGTTCTGTCATGATGGGTTTCTAAGAGTTAAGCCCAAGATGCAGAACACACATGGGAAACTAG